CCCCAACACCTCTATATATCTAGCAAACAATCTAAACTGCAGTGGGTTTTCTTCATGTTACATACTTTGAAATATTATTTGCATGTATATGATTGTAATGACATTTCTTTCATTTGAAACATTTGCATTGTATATTAGTAAAGCTCATTTTTCAGCAGTCCTCCAAATGTGAGCTCTATAACTCCCAATATATTCCACAAAATTTCAATATCTTGGCACCAAATATTAGCGGATTGGTTACTCTTAAAACAAATGAAGCTATGATTTCAATAAATAAGAAATGTTATTTGGAAATCACAACAAATGAGGAACAACAGAGATATGACCGCTGGCTTTTTATAAAGTAAAAATAAATGAGACTGGTCTTCGATGCACTTTTCAAAATAATAAAATAAAATTATTATTTGTAATTAATGGTCATTAAAATTATCATATTCAACCATAACAAACCCTTTTTTTTCGATATGTCAAATTCCCTGGTCCGCTTGTTTGCAGATGATACATTTGTACTGCAATATATACATTGCTCTAACTTCTGCAAAACAAATGGTCACCCTCCAAAATGACCTAAATGGATTAGAAAAGTTTGAGTTGGGTGTATGGAATTTAACCCCTGCAAGTGTCAAGTTATACATGTTACAAAAGCTAGAAAACATCTTATCCCAACAAAATACTACCTTCATGGAGTCAAATGAGAATCGGTTACCTCAGCTAAATACCTAGGTGTGGATACCAGTCGCAAGAATCTGTAATTTCTTAACATAGTAAAGTTTTATTTTAACTGATAAGTATATGCGACTTACCGGAGGTCCTTACAGTGGCTGCTAGAACGTCCTGGAAACGTCATATAGTCGTATTAAGAACTACCTGGTCGCATTGAAAAAACGGACTAGGGTCGCCATAGAGTCGTCAATTACAACAACTTATGTGCATTTATACGGTGACTGTGTGGTATCTACAGTACGATTATTGTACGTGCCAGAGGTATTCACGGGGTTTCTACAGCGACTATAGGGCCCGTATGGGTTCTAGTCACAATGAGATTGCTGGTCTTTGATGATAGTTTAGTGTTTGTTCAAAAAGTTGCCGCGGCTCAGCGACATGAGTCGTTCCCAGCTCGACCCTACAGTGTACATGGCGTTTCCATTGCGTCCTATGTCGCCCTGGAAACACAGTAAGGTCGCAAGTCCGATGTTATGGGCGTTAAGTCTTGGCCATGGTTTCTTTTTTGTAGATATATGTATTTTATTAGTTCCATCCCTTATATATCTTGTCGAAATACAGTTCTTCTCATGTTATACATGTATATTCTAATAATATGTACATTTTTCTTTTATTTTTTATCAATATTTTATGTAAACGTCTTACAATTATGGAAAATTAATATCAACAAATATTTGGATTCGCTTTCTTCTTTTATACCTAGGTTAACGACTTGAAATGCAAAACAAAAGTTAAACTAACCAACGCTACCAACATAACCATGTTTAAGGAGTTCTACTGAGATCCAAAAACATAAGAACATCTTACATAGATCAACTGGATAAAAAGTAAAAAAATAAGTAGTCAACTGCAAATTCTTAAAAGTCCTTTTAAATAGCTGAAGAGCATTCTTCAGGATACATAAATAAATAAATGATAATAGATCAACTGGGGCATTTGAAACAGAAAAAAATATGGAAAATATATAGAATGTAATTGAAAATCGGTTTTTACTTTTAATTTAAGCACAATTTTTAGTTAAAAACATTAAACGCTTTTCAGTTTCAGCTTATTTTACACAACAAAAAAATATCTGAAATCTTGCACTTTAGTTATTTGTATAGACCGTCATAAAAAGGGTACACAATTTATAATAAAATGTTCGAGTCCGGTCTGTAAAAAGGATTATGCTAGATTCTTATTATTTACTCAAGAATATTTCTGTCAGGAAAAATTTGAAAACCCTTTTCATAATATAAAAAGTTCACCAACATGTCAATGAAAAGTAGATAGTAAAACCATCCTTATCTACATTAAAACCATTCTTATCTACAGTCAGTATTCCAACAAGAAAGGAGTGTAACACTACAAACAAACATTTTTAATCCATGACAAATCGTACAGATGTACAGTTCTCCAAACAAATTTCAACAGATTCAATGCTGTTAACCATGCTGGTCGCCTGCAGGAATCTTGTTTAAGTAAAGTCAAATCGATAAAGAAGGGACAGTGTGACTTTTCTTATCACGTTAAGCATCTGCGTCTTGTTGATACAGCATACGTGCGTAGCGGGAGAACGGTTTCAGATTACCGTACGTTGTCTTTTGTTACATGCCAGTAAACCACTTTTACACTTCAATGCACCGCGCCTTCATTTTACAAGAACGCTAACGGAATTCACGTAACTTGACGAAGCTGACACGTTATATCTATATCAATAGATAAAAAAGATAACATACATATTAGATGTAAATATAGATATAATTGTGGTATAGAAACACTGTAACAATGTTACTACTCCAGGATCTTAACTTCTAACATCAACGTCAGTGTTTCTTTTTAAACATTTGACTTGCCATGTGTTTTCAACAAAACTTCTTGCATTATCCCGGTGATAATTAGATTAATTAAGATATGACTTATATGTACACTGTCCTCATCTAATGATCCAAACAATTTAGGAGTTAGCATGGACACATTCATTTAGTCTTTTATACGACTGAAATCTGTTCAAAAACGCAGATTAGTGTTCATTGAAATACCGAAAATCTTGCGCAAAACCAATCTAAAACAAATTGACTTTTACAGTTAAAAGAAAGTATGAGATACATGGAATACATTTTGTATTTATGTGTTTTGTAGATGGTGTAGACAGTTCTATACTTATCATCCTACTTAATTGTAAGGTGTATAACAAATAATTACCAATGTAGTAATGTTAAATGACATCAGTCATATCTAAAATCAAACATTTATTTATTTATTTATTTATTTATTTATTTATTTATTTATTTATTTATTTATTTATTTATTTATTTATTTAAAACAAATGGAGATAACTGTGAAAAATGCCTGCCTACACGGCTGACTTGTTGTATGTTAGATAGTTAATATCGTTCTGTAAACAAAGGTAATGAGGTGTTGTTTGTTGAATTCTGAAGGTAAGCTTATATGAGCTTAATTTACCTAATTATACCGCTATATCTACACGACGAGGTATAGAGGTGACAGAAATAGTTGATACCGCGGGTTTGTTACAATAGAAATGAAGCTTATTGTAGCTGTCAATCTTGTAAAGATGACGATATTTATTATAAATAATTCTGTAGACAGAAGTCATGTTCAAGTTATATGAAAACAACGTTGTCATGTCTGTAAATCTTCCTAAAGGAGCCAGTTTCTCTGACGTTCTTGCCATAAAATGTGTCTTTAATGTTTCAGTCGCTTAGAACTAGAAGTTGTAAATATACTCAAAATATATACACATCTTTTATGCAGTAACCAACTGATATTAGAATAAAATGTAGACAAAATCCATCAAGAACGCCTAAACAGCAAAATTGAAAAATGCCACAGACTCGGTTTGATTGAGCCTGTTTATTGGCTGTAATGGTAAATTCAAGCTATCATCCACGCCCCTTACACCGGCTTAAGCAGAATTCAACATTAACTCTTTACAGTCTTCTCGCCGGACAGATTTCAGTAATCGAATTATTGTACAATGGTTGGTAGCAGTAAAAAAAACCTTGATATTTTGAAGTTCGATGACCACTTCCAACCTTCTCGTATATATATTGAAATATTCCATGTTTTCAACATACAATCTTACAAACCCTGTTACTACATATTATATCCTAATATAGTGATTCATATACCATTCAGGTGAATTAGAAATTCCAGATTTAAAATGTCCATAACATTACATTTGACGAGTACGTTAATATAAGGACAAGTTGACAGACGATACCTGCTGTGTGGTTTTAACCTACCGGGCTAATAATAAACACTGTAGAGTTAGGTTTTACACGGGGACTACTTGGATTTTGACGCAACGATAACTACTATATGACAGCACAATTGTTACATTTGCTGTGAAAATCTTTGTCGGTTGTAAGACCGGCGTGAAAATTCATGCTGATAAAAATCGATGTGTCGCATTACCGTGCACAGAACAATGTTGTCTAAAGTGTCAATTAAAGCTATATCTTTAACAAATTTAAAATACTATAGATAATGTAATTTCAAACATTCAAACTTGTTTGTGATGTTTTATCTAATAAAAACAAATAAAACATTTTTTACTGAAATCTGCAATTTGTGTCTTATACAAAAGCTCTAAATAGTGAATTAGAGTTACCATTTTGGTGATTTTTCTTTTCTTAATCAACAAGGTTGGTTTGCAAATCAAAAAAGCCGTTCTAGTTAATGTGTCCATAGAATAAATTTAGCTTGGAATTCTGCGTAAGTTTTTAATTCTGGTATTTACATGTCTGTCTGTGGTGCAGTGTATCCCAGACGTGCTTGTATTTTCATTTCTCAAAAAGTTTTTATTATTATTATGCATGTCTTGATAAACTTTCTAAAAGGTAACTCATTGCCTTAACCATCTTTCACATCTGTTGCTTTTAGCAATTACTGCAGTTGTAGTGATTAGTATTTTGAATGGAAGTCAGAATACTACTTTGTTTACATTTTGCCACTTTCAACATTCAGTGCTATTTTAGTCAGGTGATAAGCATCTCTAAAACATTATTTAAATGTTATAAAACTCATGGTTGGCCTTAAAATGTATCCTTTTTTTTAGGAATAATGTGCCTGAATCATTACAGTTGAAGAAGTAAATGCAAGTAACACCAACATTATGGATGGTAAAGACCGCCCACTTGTAGAGTGGATTGACAGTCTGCCAATCAGCGTGCGCCTTTACTGACAACGGGACAATAGCATCCCTTATCCTGATTGGTTGAATTATCTACGCTAATATTAGAGGTAGGAAAATAGTTCCTTATAAAAACCCAATTATCACGTCAATAGGCATACTCAATGCACGTGAGTTTTCCCGGGAAACTAATTTGACAAATGGACTTTGAAGGACCACCTTGTGATAGAATAAATGTAGGAGATTTTATTTGCTAATCCTCGTAAGTTAATGGAGCTGTCTAAATACTTTACATTGTATATAGATGATGTTAATGCTTGGTAATTTAAAGTGAGATGTTCATATTTTAGCCGAGACATTTTGGGGATAAATGACATGTGTAGTTTTTGACAGTGACAAGTGTTATTCGATTAAGAGGTTTATTTACTAAATTAAAGATTAAACTAAAGAGTTGGTTGATGTCATAGAAAATAAAATGCGATTCATAAATCTCGTTAAACATAAATGATAGATGTACACTTAACGTGATAGACATATATATTTATAGTGATCTGATAATTAAATATTTCTTACTTCTGTATTAGTGATACTTATATTTTGTTAACATTCTTATTTTTTAAATAAAAAAATTAATACACAATGATTGAGCGAGGATTTTGTACGGACGAAATGGGTGGACTTATAAACACAAATCCAGCGCAAATGAGTGGTTTTCAAAACCATTATGGAAATGGTGGACATTTCAGTCAAATGTATCCTCCAAACCAAAGACCTTCTTTTGCTATTCAGGAACTTTTAGGTCTCAGCAACCAAGCGTGTCGACAAAATACTAGCCCAGAACTACTCGAGTCACAAAGTATTTCGCCGGGAAATTTGATGTACATTTCCAGGGATTACCCTATGTATAGTCATGGAAATTATAACGGACCAAATTTACCTCAAGATTCGATGAATCAAAGTTACGCTAATCTACGTGATCCTACGTCACATCAGCAGCCGACATCATCATCGTCATCATTTTGTCCGTGGCGCTTTGATCACCTGGCGCAGCCGACAATACCAAATCAACAACTGTCGCAGACGATGATGCCGCCTGTTGCAAGGCATCCCGAGAATGTCTCCTACAATTATAAATTTTCACCTGTACACGAACAAGGTAAATTAAAACGTATAATATAGATGTACCTTAGATTATTATGACAAAGTCCCATCACTATTATTATATTATTATTATTATTGTCATTATTATTATTTTATACATAATTTAGTTTAGTTCGATTGTAAAGAAAGGTACATTCAAAGCTGCAATCAGTCAATCAATGCAATAATATTATCCAAACAAATGCTAGTAATCAAACACAAGTTTTTCGTTTTATATTACTTTATTTATAAGTTTACAAACATACTCGAAATCGTATTATTATTATTATTATTATTATTATTATTATTATTATTATTATTATTATTATTATTATTATTATTATTATTATTATTATTTAAGAAGTCGTTACAAGAAAACTGAAAAGATAGGAAACACATTTATTCATTTAGTACAAGGAAAAAGATATGCTCACCCAAACTTTATCCACAAACTAAACTAAACTGATGTTATGTGATGAAGAAGATTTTCGTTTCTAGATTTGAAATGCAGATATCTATATTGTTCACAAACATACTCTGTCTGAAATGACTTGTTAAAATGTCAATTTATGTTTCAAGAACAGAAAAAAACTTGTATTTCTTTTATTTGTACATATACAACATAATTTCTAAGTAATAAGTACATTCAAAGGTGCAATCAGTCAATCAATGCAATAATATTATCCAAACAAATGCTAGTAATCAAACACAAGTTTTTCGTTTTTTTAACCAGGTTATGACAAAATAATAAAGTTTTGTTAAGACTTTTTCATGCGTCCTTATGACGAAAAAATATATCAACATGCGTGGAGTAATGTTTTATTCATTGCTAACAAAATGTTTAAGGATCCAAGTCGTTTTTTCCTGTTTGTATGGGTTTTCTATGTTGCTGCTGTTGTTGTTATTGTTTGTTTTTTCCCTGAAAGTTGATTTACACAGGTTCTGTATACAACATGTACAATGAAGTGAAATCGCATTTCGGTCACGGAATGTATTAAAGTTGTCAAATATTTTATTTTCCCAAACTCTAGATTTATTTTCAAATCATTTATATGTTTTCATGTCTAAAAACGTTGTAACTATACCAGATTTCTATACTAGTCTAGATTTCTTTATCCAGAAGAGCTTTATGTCGAGGTGCAAATTCTAAAATTTGATTAACCACAAAATCATTATAACCACAAAATCAAAATAATAAGATTTCAATCATTTTGCCGTGAGTAATATATGACCGTACTGATATCATCACATTATTTAGATACAAAACGGTATTTTCTTTACTTTTATTTGTCCGCGTGATAATGTTGATATTAAAATAAAGAATGCTTGTTTTTTTTAGACTTTGGCCTGATAGGTGGCTATTGGGATTTCTTCTGCTATAAAAATAGTTCTGGGTCTGTTAAAATGTTGCCACAATATATGAACAAATATAATATACTAGTAATGGAGAGAGCTCTCAGTTTCAATTATTTTCACACATTTCACACATTAAATGTATTAATAATGAAATAACTACTAAGATCATTAATGTTTATAAAATGGGAAAAATTGCAATATCAAAAGAACATATTCTACATTTTTAAGGCCCCAAATGAGTTACCCTGTTTATTTTTCCCGTACTAGGTCTATGCACTACATATTTAACTTAGAAGTAGAAAGGGATAATTAGATGCAAATTGTAATTAAGACATTATCACATTTTGCACGACATGTTTTACAAAATTTAAACACAATTCTCCTCACAATTTTTCTTACACATTCTAACACCTATAGTCGAAATTAAAAGCTTTGTTTTTATCAAAGGTAATATACCATTTTTAAGAACTGTGTGTATTTTCTCTGATGTATATTCTTTGATTTATATTTTTAGATGTATATCAAAACGATTCTTAATGTATGATTATTTTAGTTCATTTAAACATATTTCATTTCCATTTGTATACATTTATATATTTACATACAAGCATTCAACAAACAAAATGTTCACATAAAGATGAGAGCGAAAGACAAGTCTTGTAAAGATTGTAGTCTCTAGAATGATTATTTTTGTTTATTATTTTGATTTTTAAATGATAACTTTATCATTCACCCAGCTTTATCTTGTACACGTTGTGCAGATATTGCAATAAGATTCGTATATTTTGTAATCGGTGTTTCTTAAAGGCCCATTTAGCCTGAATAATACTATCAATTTTATTTTTCATTTGGTGCCCTTTTGTTATTTCCAAAAAAGTTACTCAGTGGCCACATAGCTGAACCATATTTTGCTACTTTAGCGTTTTTGCAATTACTATACAGTTCTAGCGACTTTATATTTTATATGGAAGTCAAAATAACAGCTTGTTTACATTTTTCTACCTTTATCACAAATTATTCCAAACTAAATGCTATTTTCTTCCTCACAGGTTTTAAATCCATTTTTACAATGTTCATATAAACACATAAAACATAAATAATACATTGCTTAAGATTTTGGTCAGTCTTGTTCTGATGATTACGTTTCCGACCCACTAAAGCAGCTATCAATGCTTTATATAAACGTATATATTTTAATAGTACATGTATATACATTTAAGTCACAGTAAGCTTCAGAAAAGAATATTTATTTTATTTCGGAGGAAGGACAATCATGTTGTTTTTTTATAATGTGATAGCGGATGAAGAACATGTGAGAAGCTTATCACCGTATCAAATTAGCAATGATTTTAAGATAATTTGTCAAAAAAAGAAGCAAAATGTAACCTATGGAATTTTGACTTGCATACAAAACGCAAAATAAGTAAAATTTAACTAGACTATAATGCTAAGTACACCAAAAAAATAACATCTTTTAAGAAATAATAGCATTATATTTAATTCAGACAGTTAGTTAAAGGCACATTATGCCCCAGAAACCAATATTAATGTTTCCTCCTTTAGAAAAAGCTAACATAAGTTTTAAAGCGATTAAATAATGATGTTAGCTTATCACTTGAAGAAAGTAGTAGTAATGTAATTTTTAATCATTTGTTACTACAGTAGCAAAGTGTAAACAAAGTAGTAATTTTACTTCTATGCAAAATACTAGATCACTACAAATGCACTAATTGTCAAAAGGCAAAGGAAGTAAAAGATGATTAAAGTAATTGGAAAATGAGTAACTTTTTAGAATATATATCAGGTCACCAAAAATAAAATGAATCTTTTAAGAAATAAAAAATAAAATATTTCTGAGGCATAAAGGGCATTTAATGATTGGAATCATGAGTAATAAAACACAACTACATGTAGTTGTTGTAAATTTCAACTGTGCATTGAAGCCAAAATACCAGCATTTATATCATGATTACCAAAAGTTATTATATATGACTTATATATACAGAAAATACAAGATGTAGTTTTAAAATTCTTCATTTTCAGCCTCGAATTAGTTATTTCAACTGGCCATTTCTGCTTGTTATTTTACTTTATTTGAAATTGTTATTCCATTTGTATTGTGGTAATTTGAAAATTGTTATTGTACCTCTGCCCGGATAGTATAATAATCGTTAGTTTCCTTTAAAAATCCGGGCAATTCTACATATTATCTTGTAGATGAATAAGCTATTTAGCCGTGTCTAGCGATTTAACTTCGTTATTGTCATTACATACTACTTAACAAATTAGGCCCTATTTATACCCTCGCTAGCTCATTTGGCCTAAATAGACATTTGTGAAAAATCATGTAGCGCAAAAATGTGCCAAGTGTATAGTTTTAACGGTAAAAATGAATTGAAACAAAAAGGCTTTTTTTTCTTATAATACAAATAACGGGAAAAGTGAATATTTTGCGAGTAGGAATAAATTATATGTTGTTGTTTTAGAAACAATATTAGAAATGAGAGTACGTTCCGGTATCAAGTAACTGTAATGTAAAAAAAAAGGAAACTGTTTGATGGTTAGGAAATCATTTGCCTATTTCGTAGAATGATATTGCATAAGAATAGATTCTTTTTCAAGTTTTTTTTTATCATGGAATATCAGGTATAAGCATAACTTAATAATGTATAATGTTATTTACTTACAATTTTCTTTACTGCAAACTCATAATGAATATATATCTTTTTAAATTAAAAATCGGGAGCTTTCATAACGTTTACATAAATGAGCTAAAGGAATAAATATAGATTCAAATATAAAAATAAGATTTCGAAGTTCTGCTAGGAATCTGGGAAAGGTCAAATTGACCATGATATTTTCAGTAACGCCGTTGATAGTGATGATAACAAATACAAACATTCCTTTTATTGGGCTAATATCATAACATAAATTGTTTTCTTTGTAAATCAAGAAGGTTTGCCGAGTATTTTTGCGATTACGGCCCGATGAAATCTTCAAGGGTATCACGGAAGTGGCCACACAAAATTTAGAAATTCCACATAATCTACTAGTTTCGGCTGCAACAGAAATGGACGCTTCTTATGTAAAAGGTTTAGGAAAATGTTTACACGGAAGGGCAAGGGTGAAATAAAAACAAATACTTATCTTTGAAAACGCCCTAGAAAAGGTGCAATCTTGTGCCGCGGATATCAAGTAATTGGGTTTGTGTTTTTGTTCTTACTTTTTATCTCCGAGAAAGATATGACTCAGCTAGCTTCGAAGCATTGGTCAGATTTTGATATTTTTCTAAGATAGTAATAATTCCAGTTTTTTTTAAATTTTGATTTTGTTAAAAGAACAAAAAGTAGCTTCGGAATATAACAAATACATTTGGGCAATCGGAAGTAAACTATTACAGAAGCGCATAGCCGCCATTTAAGATGCATTGTAGCTTGGTTAATCATTACGAAATTATCTTTAAATTTCTCTTTTTGAACACATAATATTTTGGGGGTTGTAATTAAAACAAAAACAATAAATGTTATGTCCATTTTGCTTCTTGTTTTCGTTAATGTATGGAAAAATGATTAATTCGATATATAAAATGATGTGAAATTGAATTTAATAGTATAGGGTCATTTTCGTTTGAAGTCTTGCTTAAATACATTATTAGATAGA